GGCCTGGCCTACAGGGAGGGGAGAGGAGAGGAAGGGGAAAGATGTCTCTGGCACGAACAGAGGCAGCGCCATCAGGTGACATACCCGACCGTGGCGCATCGGTCGGAGAGGGCTCATGCATCTGGTCGCCGCCCACCGGTGCCCTTGTGCCGGTGTCGGCGGGGGCATTCACCCCTGCTCTTTGTCCCCTGTCTTCTTGGGATGGCGAGGCTGGCGGTTGGCGTTGCGCTCTTCCCGCGCCTTCCGCCTTTCTTTCATCGCCGAGACCTCCTTGGCGAGTTCCTGTGCGATCCAATCTTGTAGCTCGGGGGCAACGCACACGTTGCCCCTCGCGAGGTCGGCACCCAAAAAGAGGTGAGAATCAACTTTGTCCTCGGACCCGATGATGCGATCCCTGTGTCGTTCCTCCTGCACCTGAAGAGACCGCCCCAACATCTCGAAGGACGCGATCTCTGTTATATTCAATTGATCGTAGCAGGCCGCCGTCTCCAAAGCCATGCACACGCGGAGGTGCTCCTCCACCCCAGGCTCTGAGCCGCTGAGGCGGGCCTCCGCCTTCCATCGGTTGTGCCTGGCTACTGGCGAGCCGCCGTTGGCCACGATGAACTTGCTGACCCAGAGGAGGGCGCGCGGCCCGCGCACGGGCCAATCCGCGAACGGCGTGACCGTGAACGTGGTGACGGCAGCCCTGAACTCGCGATATCGCATCCCCTGGGAGTCGACCGCGATGGCCTGCGCACGCAAGTCGAAGACGGGGGCTCCAGCATCGCCACCGCGACCTGGCGCAGCGCCTGCCGCCACCGCGAGGCCTCCTCCTGGGGCCGCCACGGGGGGCGCGGCCACCAGAGCTGCTCCTGCCGCCGCTCCGGCTCCTACAGCCCCTCCAGCTGGGCCAGCGGCGGCAACGCCAGCGGCGGCGCCACCCACCACGGCCCCAGCAGGTGCGGCCGCTGCGGCAGGCGCGGGCGGGCCCGCGGCTGCAGGGGGGACCAGGGCGCCCGCTGGGGCGCCAGCCGCCACAGGCCCCCCCAGGGCGGCGGCCAGGGCGGCAATGCCTCCTACGTCGGGCGCAGCCGCGCCCCCGGGCGGCGGGCCCGGCTTGAAGACCACGACCCTCTCGTGCCACAGGACTGGTCCGGGGATGTTGTACCTGACAACGAAGAAGTCGCCCTCGTCGAGGCCGCCCGCCTGCACGGGCGTGCCGGGCCCCACCGAGAGCGGCCGCCCAACCGTGTTCAGCGCGAAGGGCTCGGCCGGCAAGGCGAAGCCCAGCCGCGCGGCTCCCGCGGCCCTCGCACCCACAAGCCGAGCCGGCAGGGGCAGAGCGCGAAAGCGGTAGACCGGGGCTGGGATGGCCGCGCCCCCGACCAGCGGCGGCACACCGCCCTGCATGCCCTCGGGCAGCCGCACCGCCTCAATGATGTCGGCCGCCACCGCGGTGTCCTCGTCGTAGTCGTCGTCGTCGTCTGGAGTGAGGATGGTGTACACTCCAGGGCCAGGCGCGGCAATCGCCATCACTGCCCAGTAGAGCGGGCGCCCACCCGCCGCTTCAGCGCCAGAGCCTCCAGCTGCAGCCGGGCCTGCTCCGCGAGCGGCTCCCCCTCAATCGCCTCTGTAGTCACCACTTGAGCGGGGTGAGGCGAGCTCCGGGCCGCGGAGGCCCACGCAAGGGGTAGCCGTCCGATCACGAAGCCGATGCTGACGAAGAGGATGCACCACAGCAACGAGCCCAGCCAGGATACGCCGCTCGCCTCCTGCTGGATCACGTCACCGCAGCTCACGCTGGGGCAGCTCGGGCAATCGCAATTGACCACGGGCCGACAATCAGGGCACGGGACACGGCTGGCCCAGGAGAGGACGGCCGCCGAAGAGGATGTGATCAGCGAGTTAGCGGCCACTTCGAAAAGAGCCTTGGCCCCGCCCAAGACGGGCATTGGGGAAAGAGCTTGAACCAGAAACCGAATTACGGCACACTCGTCAGCTGGCTATTGCTTCTACTTTGAAAAGAGGACATCTATATGTATTTATTTATTTATTTCTGTATCCTTTTCTTATATTTTTACAAGCCCGGGGGTTGGGAAAACCCCATCTCCCCCCCTAAACTGGACCCCCAAGATCGCGCGTTTCTGGTCCCCCTGGACATCCTTGCCAAAGGTCCCACGGCTCGTCCCGGACCTCCCAGGGCGCTCAGCCCGGGCCCTGCCAGTAGCCCCCAAGCGATCAGAGCGGTGATCAGAAAGGCCGAAGAGAGACCCAAGACAGCACAAGAGCACTCCAGAGGCCTCCAGAGGCCCCCAAGACGGCCCATGAGGCCCTCAACAGGGCTCCCAGAATGCAGAAATGCTTTCAATCCCTTAGGGAAACGTGCATTTTCAGCACAAACGCTGTTCGGGTCTTAGCAGCGTCCAGAACAGCCAAAAATGCCCCCGGTATCGCCCCAAGACGGCCCAAGAAACCCTGAAGAGAGCCTCAAGACAGCCTGGATGGCCACAGGACTGCCCAAGGAATCCCCACATGAGCCAAAAAGAGGCCCAAAAGGCCCTTGAAAGGCCCCGAAGCGATCAGAGCGGTGATTAGAGAGGCCGAAGAAGGACCTAATACAGCACAAGATCGCTCCAAGGAGGACCCAGAGGGCCTCCAGATGCCCCCAAGACGGCCCAGAGGCCCTGAACAGGGCTCCCAGAACGCAAACATTGCTTCATTCTTTTCGGGAAACGTACCTTTTCAGCACATTCACTGGTCGGGTCTTAGCAGTGTTCAAAACAGCCAAGAAGGTCTGCAGTATCGCCCCAAGACGGCCAAAGAGACTCCAAGAGAGCCTCTAGACGGCCTGGACGGCCCCAAGACTGCCCAAGGAAACCCCAAATGAGCCAAAAAGAGGCCCAACAGGCCTTCACAAGCCCCTTAGGGAAACGTGCATTTTCAGAAAGTCGCTGTTCGAGTCTTAGCAGCATCCACAACAGCCAAAAAAGAATCTGGTACCGCCCCAAGACGGTCCAAGAGACCCCCAAGAGAGTCTCCAGACGGCCTGGATGGCCCCAGGACTGCCCGAGGAAGCCGCAACTGAGTCAAAAAGAAGCCCAACAGGCCCTCACACGGCCCCGAAGCGAACAGAGCGGTGATTAGAGAGGCCGAAGAAGGACCCAATACAGCACAAGAGCGCTCCAAGGAGGACCAAGAGGGCCTCCAGATGCCCCCAAGACGGCCCAGAGGCCCTGAACAGGGCTCCCAGAAAGCAAACATTGCTTCATTCTTTTCGGGAAACGTACCTTTTCAGCACATCCAACAGGCCTTCACAAGGCCCCCAAGTGAAGCCCAAGAAGGCCATGGGAGGCCCCCCAAAAGGCCATTGGAGGCCAACAGGAGGGCCTGCATAGCCCTCGTAAGCTCCCTAGAGGGCCCAAGCTTCCCAACACGGCCCAAGATGGCCCCCAAGACGGCTCGAGACGGCCCCAAGCCAGCCGGCCCCAGGGCTCCAACAAGGCCCACACGGCGATTTCCACCAAACTGACCCGAATCCAGGGCTCGCAACCACAAATCCCAGAAATCTGTTGCGAACCCGGGACTTGGTGCATTTCCCTAAGAATTGCTTGCGTTCGCGTGCCCCGTTGCGACCCGCTGCAACCCGCTGCAACATTCTTCGCCGTCCCCCGACGGCGCCCTCCTCCTCCTCCTCCTCCTCCTCCTCCTCCTCCTCCTCTTTCTGGCGCTCCACCACTCGTCCTCCCCCACATCCGCTTCCTTTCCTCGCTCTCCAAGATTCCTTCCCTCCTATCCTTCGCCCTCCACCCAGCACCTTTCGGGAGCCCCCCAGAGGCCCGGGAAGGGCCAGGGACAACCCAAACTTTCGAAGACTTGTGAAAACCACCGCAGGGAAAGGGCCAAATTTCCAAGGCCACTAGGGATGGCGCGGCGCGAACGACCAACATATGCAAGGCCTCAAGGACCAATGTGCATGGCGCGAAGCGCCAAAACCTATCAATATTACTATCGACCTCCCTCTATTTATCGACCTCGCAATCTGTCGATCTCACAATCGACCTCATTATCGATCTAACTATCGATTGGTCCATTGATCTGACATATCGACCTCACGGGACACCACGGGACACCACGGGACACTACGCCACGGGACACCACGGCACACCTCAGGACACCACGGGACACCACGGGACATCACAGGACACCGCGCAACGGGACACTACGGGACACCACGGGACACCGGCGGCCCCCCCCCAGCCACCTCCGGCCAACAGGGGGAGGGACGGGTGCCCAAGCAGCTTCGCCTCGACCGCCCGCACGACACGAACACACGAAACCTAAACCGATGTCCCTGTGGAAGGTCTCCGTTTCACTTCGAACTCACCCCCCGAACCTCTGTAGGGCGACGAAATCTGTTCATATCCACTGCTCCCTGGCCAGGCCCAGCCTGAACCCAGCAGCGGTGTATACGCCACGCGCTCCTGGCTCGGCAAGGAGGGCGTATACACAGCTCCTGGGAGCAGGATGGGCCTTGCCAGGGAGCAATGATGGGCCCTGCCAGGGAGCAATGGGTACGAATAATCGTCGCCCAGCCCGACTAGATATGTGCACATACAACACACACACAAATATTTCATCAAGCTTTTGACTGCCTCCTCCTCATCCTCCTCCTCCTTCACCTCCTCGCTCGACGCTGCCGCTCCTCCACCTCCTCCTCCTCCTCCTCCTCCTCCTCCACCTCCTCCTCCTCGCTCGATGATGTCGCTCCCCCTCCAGCTCCTCCTCCTCCTCCTCCGCCTCTTCCTCTTCCTCCGGATCCTCCTCCTACTCCTCCCCCTGCTCCTCGCTCCTCCTCCTTCTCTCCTCCTCCCCGTCCTCCTCCTCCTCCTCCTCCTCCTCCTCCTCCTCCTATCCTCCTCCCCCTCTTCCTCTCCTCCCCCTGCTCCTCGCTCCTCGCTCCTCCTCCTCCTCCTCCTCGCTCGCCGCTGTCGCAAGAAAATGAGAGCGGCGAAGGCGTCCTGCGCCGACCATGTTCTTGAGGAGGTTGATGCACGTGGTGACAATGGTTGCTCCCTTTTCCTTGTCGCCTGAGGCCCCGCCCCCCATGCAGGGATAAGGAAATGCACCAGCACCACCACCACCACCGCCTGGAGGAAACGCACCACCACCACCAGTACCTGGAGGATGGATGCAGAGAGTGATCAGGGGTGGTGGTGGGATATATCGTTTCGGGCGCTCTCGCGGGACATCGTACGTACTCGCATCACGCACAATAGCTCGTCCTGAATTTCCAAGGTGGTGGAGATGGTGGTGGTGGTGCGCCCCCTGCTCCCAACCCTGGCTGCCACTTCCTTATGTTACATGTTTGGGGGACATCGTCTGTCCCATCGCGCTAGCCAATCCGTGTCGCATCCCTGTCGGATCCACGTCGAACGCGCCGAAACCATATCGGCTCCGCGTCAGATCCACGTCGCATCCGAGCCGATTTCACGCCGACCACGCGTTGAGTGTCGGAAGAGACCGTTTTTGTTTTCCTCGCACGGCATCCACATGTTTCGATGCTCGCCGTTCACATCACGAGCCACACGGCAAGAGACTGCAAAGCAAACGAGCGCAGGGCGAATCAGAACATCACCAAACAAACGCGGAACGCCGCCACACAAACCGACCTGCAATAGACAAACTCGTGCAAATAACCTTGACATGGGAAAAATACATGGGAAACCAAAATAATGATACCCAGAGCCACCCGCGACAATTATTGCCCGGACAGTTGCCGTACAGAGGAGAGGAAGGAGGAGGAAGAGACCCCGCAAATCGGCTGCTCAAATTCTGGCCCATGCTAGAAGTGAGCAAACACAGGCCCGAGCTCCGTGAACGACCACGTAAACTTCAAGACCAAACGAAAGGACAACAACGGGTACTACATCAACCACGCCCCCTGAGAACGGCCAGGAACAAACGTGCTGCAAGCTTAAACTATAGGCAACACCCATGGGACGACAAGCGGGGACACAAACGACTGCAAGGGAAGAGAGAGCCACGCTGGCCGCGAGTCCAGGATGCACTGCGCACGCCTTCCGGGCAAATGTTTCCAAAGAAGCGTGTGCGTCTGGCGTCTGGATGTGCTGCGCCACGTTTGCGGCGGAATATATGCAACACAGCGCTGCGTGCGTCGACCAGTCGCTCGAGAGCTCTGTAACCGGTGGCCCGTTCTCTGGGAGGCACTCGCTGCGATATTCCAAATCCGGCTGCCTACGCCCGTTCCAGCCAAAACTAGGACATATGTCAAGCAGGGGCGGGCGAGCCAAAGAGCGAGACAGAGAAAAAAAACGCTGCAATGGCTGAGAACGTGGAGAACAGCGGCGTCTGTGCTGCTGTCTGCGGCTGCGCGGGACCGGTCCCGCAGAGTCTGAAACAAAAACGGCCAGACGACGACTGACTTGCAAACAGCCTTGATGATCATTTTCCAACAGAATCTAAATTGGTCTCCTGATTTGTAAACCACCTCCAGTATTTGGCACCAAATGCCACGGCGTTGGCCATGGAAACAACATGGGGATCCCCAGCGCCACCACATTCCGCAAGGCGCCGGGTGAAGTCCACACGAGCGAACCCAGGAATGTAAAGCGGCGGCGGCCTTTTGCTCGATCGCAGGGCAGTTTGAAGGCGTGAGGTGCAGCTATAGCAAGGACGTCGAAATCGGGCACGCGTAGATCTGGCGCGCCAGAATGGTCGGGTGGAGGCCGCTGCCAATCTTCCGCCACATGCGCGCTCTCAGAAGTAATTTGTCCAAGGACTTCGTCCATGAATGCTCCGGACGCTCAGGGCCAACGACATTTCCAAAACACGCGGCGTAGCGATGGAAAGTCATGTCACCCACAACGGGGCGTCGATGGCGAGTTGGTGGCGAACCTGTTCCTGCGGGGCCAGGCGCAGCAGGTGCCGGGCGGTTTTCCGATGGTGGATCCAGAATCCAGAAGTCCGCTCGCGCTCTTCGAAAAGCTGCGCGAGGACAGACGCATCTCCATTCCCCTGGGGACGAGCAGCCGCGAAATCGCTCGCGAGCGCGCGAGGAAAGGCCGACGGACGAAGACGCGGGAGTCGCCGAACATAGCGGATACCACAGGCGATGCAAGGCAGCCCGGTCGAACTCCAGCTGCAAACACGACGCCCTCGAGCGTCGCCCCCGCGGCGATGGGGCGCTAGTTGTCCACGCGGAGCGCTGCGTCGAAGCGAGCGCGCCGCGGTGGCCAACCTCGGGGCGCGATCGCATCCGCGAAAAAATCTCGGCCGGCGCGCGCTTGGGAACACGATGCGAAAATCAAGCTAACCCGTGGGGCGGGACCTGAAGGCAACAGGTCCTGGGCCCCGAAGCTCCCCCCCAAGGCCACTTCCTCACTCTGTGTCGTTTTTTTTTTTTTGCAATCCCAGGGCCAGGTGCTCGAAAGCGGAAATGAACCTCGAGGCGCGCCCCCCCCGGGCCCGCTCCCCCCGCGGCCTTCGAGACGGACGAGGCCCCCAATGACGCGGCGCCATCTTCCACGCGCCCCGGCCCCAGCTCCCAGCGCTCCTGGAAAACCGCGGCGGACGCGCCGGCGCTGCGCGATCTCTCGGGCCACCGAGGCGCCCCGAAGTCCGGCGGGAGAAGCGGGGGGCGTCCGAGGCCGACATCGGCCCTCGAGCACGCGCGCCTCGATCAAGCGAGATAATGTTTTCAACGTGGCTGGCCTCGTCGCCGCGGAGATCTGGGCCGACGCGCCCGCAGCGAAATGCGCGCGCGCGCGCCCGACGCAACGAACGCGGCGAATTTGGTCGTCGGGCTTCTGTCGCCGCCGGGCCGCGGGGCCAGGAACCGCTGCCGCCCCGAATCAACCCCCCCGCGCCGTCGCGCCGCGCTGCGGGCGCGGCCGGCTGGAAACGAATTGAAACTACTTAGCTCACGCAGCAGTTTGCCAGCTGGCAGTCGAAGGGACGCGCAAGGGGTCTTTAACTCGCTCGTGCCACGCATCCGTTCTGCCTCCTGGAATGCGAAGCTAAATTTCGCGCGGTCCCTGTTTCTGTAGTCGGGGAGCATGAAACAGCACTTCCTCGCGCGAGATGCGCGCGGGGCAGCGGCAGCAGGATCCACGCTGAACTCGACGCCGCCTGTCGCGCGAACGGGCTCGGGAAACTGCGGCAGGCTCGCTTCTGCGGCCTTCCACTGCCGCGCAAGGAACTGCGCCGACGAATCGCAGCGATGGGCCATGCCCCGCGCGCGTGACAGGAGCGATCAGAGGGGGCGCAGAGAGGATTAGACATGGAAGTGGCTTCGCGTGGCAGAGCGAAGAAGGTTCGCCCAGCCGTTTTCCCTTCGGCGGCCTGCCTCAGCTCTGCATCAAGCATCGATCCATCTCCTCTCCAGCTCAATATTGAAGGACGTACCCCCAATCGCGCGCCTGAGAACAAAAAACGCATGCCACTTCTGACGTCGCCCCGAAAGGTGATGAGCCCATCTCTCTTAGACCTGCCGTATAAAGCGTAACACCATGTTGTCTTCTGACGTTGGGTCGAAAGACACACGGGGCCTCGACCGCGGCCACGTCGCCCCAGCATGGGGCACCCATGCCTGCGCCCAGCCTGCCATTCAGAACCGACCTGCGCCTTCAGCGCCCTTGAGCTGTTTGCGAAGGAGAACCAGGAACATGATCTTGTCAATGCTATGAGCAACAATGAACGCGCGCGAATATCACCCGCGCCAGCCTCAACTTGACCGCGCGGTTTGAATCGACCGTGGGTGGCGCGTAAGATACGCGTAGCTCGCCACAGCTTCGGCTTCAACATAGAAGACGCCCGCGACGCGGCACCTATCACTGGGCCCCCCGCGCTCTCGCGCACTGGACGTGACATTGCGCCCCGCGCACGTTAGTTTTGAGCGCGCCCTTCGAAGTCGAAACCATCTTTCGGCGCGAACTGCAGGCCCGACCGCATGCCTAATGGCAGCGCGACTGGCCCTTCAAAAAGCCACCCGCATCCGTCGCGCTTTGCCGCCATCAGGAATACGGGGGAGGGGGGGGGGGGGGAGCCCGCTCGGGCCATCGACCTCCCGGCAGCGGAAACCCCCGACATCGTGAGGCGCACCCCCAGAAGATGCTGATCAACCGCAAAGCAATATCCAACGCTTTTGTCCGCGGGGGGGGGGGGGGGGGGCGACCGAGCTGACCTTCAACGCCCCGAGAACTAGCGCGCGAATGTCAGAGACATTACTTGAAGTCGAATTGCAGAAACTTCTTCCGCGTGGAAATTATGCACATATTGATGTGCACATATTAAACCCAAGCACGAACGCCCTCCCGCTACTCGGCGCGACTGCCAGGTGCCTGCGGGCATCTGTTGAGGATGGGGCCTCTACCGAAGGAGAAGAAGTGCGAGGGCATGCAGGGGCGGCCCGTCGCCGCGCCCCCAGGTGCAACCCGTTGTCGGCGCCCCCGCTGCGTGAGAAAGCACCCCATTGAGAAGGGGATGCCGCGCGCACTGACAATGGCCGTCTCGGGCGAGGTCGCAAAAAAGCGCCCTCTACGCGCACGCGTGCATCTGGTTTCGCTTTGCCGCGCTGCAGAAAGACTTTGAAATCTGAGACGCGCGCCCCCTTCGTCGGCATTTGCGCTTGCTTTCGGCGTCGACGCACTCGTCGCCTCACCACCGCCCCGGTCGCAACTGCGACGGGCGTCGCTCTTGCCGCAACTCTTGCCGCGACGGCGCTGGGCGTCGGTCTTGCCTTTCTTCCCCGTTTGGGGGGCCCTTGCCGTCGTGGCCTCTGCTTCTTGCCGCGCCCTTGCGGCCGCTATTGGCCGCGCCCTTCTCTTTGCATCCTTATCTCTAATCTCGCCGCCGCCGCCGCCGGCGGGGAATCGCCGTTTTCCGGCTCCGGCGCGCTCTCCACCACCCCTTCCCTCGCCATGCCCTCAGAGCCGACGCGCCCCATAATCCGCGCTGGGGCCGCGGCCGCGCCTGCTCTCGCTGCCAAGGCCCGGTCGGGCCCATCTCCTACGAACCCCCTCCCTGTCCTTGTCCCGCGCCTTTGACGCCGAGGCTGCGCGGGCGTTCA